CACTTGAACATGAAATGTACTCGTAGATCAGGCGCTTGCCAAGCATCTAGCTCGCGCGAACGCAGTCATTTTGGTCACGTAGTCCTGCGGCAGTGACGAGGTGGCGTTTCCGTTTTGGTATTCCACAGAAACCGTTCCTTATTACCCAGATAAAGCCCTTCCTGCCGTGAGTTCAAATGCCAACGGAGGTGGATCTCCTTGCGAAAGGTCCTAGTTAGCACTGTTTAATGCAAATGCTATGCTTTTATCCTGGAGCCATGTATGGTGTAACATCCTTGCTCTGATTACTTTTTGGAATGGCTCTGGTGCTGAGAAACGTGACAGGGAGATCCATTTTAATGCATACGGGGTATAATGGAAACTTTGGTGAGCCTTAATATACAAAGTTATTGCGAAGGTCTTGATGTATAAGTATCTCGGGTACTTTGGGCACTATGAGTGTACATTCTGTACTTATAATGTTCCCAACGTAACTTTTGAAACTTATTCTGTGGTTGTCACTGTTGTATTGTGATTTTCTTCCGCGAATGAACAGTTGGCAGTTCAATTTCAACCCAAATGCAGTTTCGATTGAGTTACTTTTGCAATCCAATTGAAGCAACTGATAAGCAACGGTTTATCGTTTTAGGGTTGTAGATAAGGCCACGGACTACATGTTTACTAATAAGGACGCGGATATACATCGATTACGCTCGTTCTCTAAAAACCAGACTGAATCATACATACGAGTATTCACAAACGAAATTTAGCCAGATCAATGCAAATAATGTAGCACTTTTATATTTTCCAAAAAGTTTCCAATATGGTGTCAAGAAAATACGCATTTTTGAGATTGACGGTGACTCATATCAGCGTTTCAAGGGTTAGTTCCTCCAGCGCAGCAGAATTGAACTCCCTGTGGAATAATGCCTAATCCCAATAAATTGTTGTTGACGTTTATCAAACAAGATTGTGGATGCATCCATTTTCGGCAAAATAATATGCTTCTAGGTTCTACATATCATTAAATGATCACTTGACTTTCTTCCGAAAATGACCTGGGGAGTGTTCGAGAATGCACTTCCCCGAAAAGTAAAAACCCCACCTACTTTCCATTGGCGCTCTGTTTTCAAAACTGATGCACAATCATTTTCTGGAGATATGAGCGAAAGGCTAGTTGAAGAGGTACAAGGACACCCACAGTGTAACCTGACTAGAGATGGGAGCACCAGCAACTGTTGAGCAACTAGTTGGGTAGCTGTCGAGTTTTGGTTGCCAGATTCTTTTGGTGAGAATGGTACCGATTGTTTACCCTATATTTTGTGTGCCTGCCATTTCCTTATGATAAGTCTGTCTGCACACTTTCCAATACTATCTTGACAAAAGCGGATTCATCTCATGTCAGGCTGCTGGCATTCGGGGTATACTAGCGTTTTTCCTCTCACATAAAATAATGTTCATTTGTTATTAACGTATAACCCTGTAATGTGTGGTTTTCCTCAAACATGCAATATTGAGGGGTGCTTAGTTAGGCTAAGCCTGAAGCTATACAATATCCGCAGCGTCATAACGGTGAAATTGAACAGGGTGTGGCGAGTTTCGGAATTGAACTTTATAAGGGGGAACGGCACCTCAGGCGTCAATGATAAATTTTGCGGCATGTGTGAGACGTTGATTCAGGCAGCCACCGATGTTAGGGCGAAAACGTAGTGGAAGCTGGCCTCTTGTCAGTTCCAGCGTAGTCATCGCGTCAACATGGGGTCTAGCGCATCTGAAGATGAATTTATTGGATTGGTCAAAATAATCACTAGAAAGAAAGTTGGTATTCACCCCTCAAAATTGTGAGAGGGTACATTATGGTAAATATCATCATTTGTTCAAGGGGTTGAAAGATGAGCCCCACCGCTTTTTTCAGTATTTATTTCCAACATTTGTCAACCATATTTCTGTTACGGTGTTGTTTATTTTTTTATCCCATATGGGGCATTGTTTATATACTGATGCGATTAACTTGTCTATATCCATTATCCACATCAAACTGATCTGACAACCTGCGAAAAGGAACTAAATGATCGTTCCGGTAAAACCGGTAATGCCAACTGCCTGCACCGACAAGCCTGAACCGGCCTCTATTGTGTTATTGCTAACTCAAGAGCATAATATTATGTTTTGGCCTTAGTGTTAGACTCAAAGGTCCTCCAGCCTCCGAAATGAGGGTGGTTTGAGTTAACACCATGCTAAGGACTTAGAATGTCCAGAAAACGTAAAAACCAATATTGTTCTTTTGTTACTATGACATTTGAAACTTTTGCGGTGGCTTTTATGCTGATAAATCTCCAAGCCGCTAAATGAAAACACACAAGGATTCACAGCTTACTGAAGTTTCTGCCATCAAAGTGCACACCAAGAACCACAATAACAAAGTATTTTATATTCATCTGACTTCCAGGTGACAGTTCATTGTTTCTTCCCTACTATACAGTGTATAGTCTGGGTTAAACAGTCCGCTTCCAATAGGCGTCCAATTTCAGCAAAGCTACAAGCGATCATGAGGTTTTTTGTTGTTTCGGATGTCTTAAATGCGTCACCATCACCCATCATCCCGAAGACGCCAAACGTCTTCCAAGAAACACGAAGACACACCCAGAAATGTTGTCGCACCATACCGGTTGACTGTTTTGCGAGTACTAATGTTACATCTGCATTGTCCATAGAGTTGAAAGGCGAGAAGTAGTACTTCGACATCTCATCATCTATTTTGTAAGTACAAGTAAGTAAGTACAAGACACAGCAGTTTGGCCTCGAGGTGGCGAAGCAAAACGTCTGTGCATTAGGGTTCCAAAACAAACTGTAAGAAAACCTGTAAGAAAAAAGTTGGTCTGCTCCACCAATCGGTTTAGAGAATATCAGTTATATCTTTTCTTCAAGGATACTCAACCAAACTGGGTGACAATTAGACTCCGGTACTTGGCTACTTGTATTATAAAGGAGTCACACCTTGACGTGAAGTTGTTTGCCCAACTTTATTTGGCATTTCTTTGATTCAGTGTTTGGCAAATTCAACCATGGTGAGGTACACAATTGAGCAGCGCGTTAAGATTGTTGAAGCGTTTTATGAAAATGGTCGTTCAAATCAAAATGCATTTCGTGCACTTCGACCACATTTGTCCACAATCTGGAGAATTGTGTACAAATTTCAGCAAACAGGGTCCGTAGGAGATGTGAAAACGAATGTGCATGCTCGTCCAGTTCGTTCAGCTGAAAACACTGCTACTGTTCGCGATCGCCATCGTGCTCAACAATTGAACATATTACGGACATCACTGATGCGCATTTTGAATAAAGACTTTAATTTACACGCTTACAAGGTCTAGACGAAAATAATGACTTTACGAAGAAAATCATCTTCAGCGATGAGGTACACTTTCACCTCAGTGGATTCGTTAAAAAGCAGAATTGTCGCATTTGGGCAGATGAGAATCCTCGAGTGATTGTTGAGAAGTCGATATATCCACAACGAGTGATTGTTTGGTGCGGTTTATGGTCTGGCAGTAGTTGGAGATATGGAGCTGACCGGTATGTGGTTCCAACGGGACTGTGCCACTTGCCACACATCCAACAAAACAATGGCTCTTTTGCGCCACATGTGATTTGACACCGTTGGACTTTTTTCTTTGGGATATTCAAAAGAAAAAAGTGTACGTCAATAAGCCAAGAACAATTCAAGAGCTAAAGGATGAGATAATTCGACACATTGAGGACATTGAACCTCAATTATGCCTCTACGTCATTGAAAATATGGACTATCGTACATTATAGTTGGACCACCCTTTATAAGACCAAACACTTGAGTAATATATTTTCTTGTACTGAGATAAGATGTACGAAAATATTGATTTATTTTGTAATATAACACATGTCACTCATATTCAAGTAAGTAGAGCAAAATCTTCTTCTGTATTACAATCCTTAACAAAAAATACTTTGAGATAAGCGGCATTATCCAGCTATTTGAAGTACCGTAACTAAAATCTAGAAGATTAAGTTTATAGTGCAGAAAAATCTAGGGACAATTTCAAACAAGTCGGAAGGTAGAGAGTACGATGAATTGCACTGAGGAAGATTGCTAGATCGTACATGCGACGTTGCTAGCCCTTTTCATACATCTGAGGCTGTTTTAGTTCTATATTGCCGTGTCTAATAGTAGGTAAATGGCACTATAACGAAATAGTGCGAAATAAAGACGTCGATACAAGCATAGGCGCCACGCGTCGGCCGGATTCTTTTACTTAATATTCGCCGATTGAGCCGGAAAGTTCGCAGATATTCGGTATTCGATGTGTGGCCTAGACTATTTCCTGCAAATCTGATTTATGTACCTTCCTATTATAATTGTTCACCTTTTTTGTCTAATATTGAGTCTTCCTCCCATTTCACCATATACCCTGCTACCTCATATCTTCGGTGAGCTCTGATTTTAGGGTCTTCCCCTTTATTGTTATGTTTCGCTAATATAGTATTTGCCTCAGGCAAAGTCTATCTTATTATATTGAAAAACAGTGAGAATCGTCTGCCCTATTTTTGCTGAGAACAAAATATATAAGCGACTCTCCTTTGAAAGTACTTACTTACGGGAAAGGCCATGCTGGAATTTCCGAGTTCACTTATAACTTTGAAAGGAAGTATAGGCTTAGTTATTGTATTTAGGAATATAATAAATAAACATAAATATTGGACAGCTCTAAAGCATTCCGATATTGCTGCTGGCTGATTTTTATGTTTCTAGTTCCTCCAGATTATTCTGTACTTTGGGGCAAACAAGAAAAGTATGTATATTTTTTCCAATATTCTCAGATTTTGCTAATTGTTTTAATCTTTACCCAGAGAACTATTTACGGTTAGCTAAAAATGTAAGTATGAAGTATTTTTCTATCAAAATAATCTTCAGGTCGTTCAAAATACATGGTACGTTTAGGTTTACAGCTTGTCGTATCTAACAATTGTATGGATTTTCTTGACAGAGTTTCCAAAGCCCTACGCAGTCCACTCAGGAAGCCAAGAGGTCCATGTTAACACCTCTCAGGATCGGAGCGGGGTCCCTATTATTGCTGAAAGCCCTTCTGTCAGGTGCAGTCAGCCAAATGTGATCTGACCGGACAGTAAAGTGGGCATGTGTGGCAGCGACAGGTAAGACATGCACAAGTAACTATATGTAGAACCGCGGAGATCGATTACTTGGAAAGTTGATATGACAAAATGAGCAAGGTGGTATTTTCGGTACAACCGGAAATGCCAGCATTTTGAAAATACCCTCAACTTTCTATAATTCGACACATGCGTCCAGTGACATTGTAAGTGACAAAGGGAAGCTTGTCAGGAGAGATGCATCAATTGCTTAGCAGCTTCATTGAAACTTTTCAACATGTAATATAGACTGCCAGCAAAATTAAACGGACAAACAAAATTTTGTTCAAATTAAATTTGAAATAACTTTTTAACCTTTGTATCAATTGCGTCGATTTTCCCGTAAAGGTGTTGTAGGTAATTTCGTTGTAATCACTATCGACTGCCGACATTGTAAAAAAACTGAAAATGTTTGTCGCTATACAGGGTGTAACCAAAAGGTGCATTTTGCCCTAAATTTCTGAAGACCCTGTGGAAATATTGGATCACTGAATAATGAATCTTCGAAAGAGTTCTTTTTTTGATTTATGTCAATATCTCAATTATTGAAGAATATATGCAGAAATGAGTCTTCAACTGCATTTGTTGCTTTTCGTCTACCCTACTCAGGTCTTCTTGAGTAAGAACCAGTTTCACTAAATCTTAGTATCGCGTCGAATAACGTACTGCGTGGAATGACAAGCCTTTCTGCGATATACCGAATAGGACGACCAGCATCTTGTAAAGCTTGCGCTACTTGTTCCGGTGTTCCTGTGTGAGTATTGCTTGGAAAGAATATTTTTGACATGTCATAAAAATGCTAACAGACACAGCCTATTTGAAACAATTTCTTACCTGGCAAACCTGCTTGAAACAATTTCTTGTTTATGTATATGATACGCATGATTTTCTTCAAAACAGCATATTATATTCTTCAATAACTGAGATACTGACATGAATAAAAAAAGAACTGTTGAGAAAAGTTGATGCTCAATATTCTCATACGAAGACACATTAATCAGTAATCCAATGTTTCCACATGGTGTTCAGAAACTTGGGGCAAAATGCACCTTTTTGTTACACCCTGTATAACAACAAACATATTCAATTTTTTGCTAGATCGACATTCTATAATAATGACAATGAAATTTCGTACAACTTGACGAAACAACTAACGAAATTGATGCAAAGGTTGAAAGGTTATTTAAGATTTACAATTACTGTTATGGCTACATTTTACAAAAGTACTGACCAGGGCTTTCCAGCATTTAAGTATAATCGTACTATAGTGACAATGATCAAATATTCGTAATGAATTAATACTAGTCATAACTTTTTTCTCCGCCTAAGAACATTGTAACTGCGTTCGCGCAGTATATTACAAGCAACATCATTGTAACAAGACGAGTAATATATTTTCGTGCAAGAATATTGTAGACAGTTACCATGTTTCAGTGGAATCGATGATAAATAGTAGACTCGTATGCTTTACAATGCCTGCATTATAATTCAGTAAAACAGTAATGATCTCTGTTATGGTATTAGTTAATTTTCGGATGTATGCAGGTGCAATAATATTTTAACTGCATTTTCTCATGTTTCTGCTAACAAGTAGTTAATTTTGAAAAATGGACAGATAGTATTGTATTCAATGTATCCAAATCACTCAAAGATCGTCATAATGTCAGTTACAATGTTATTAGATGCATATATCGAATTGCCTAACGTCAACTTTTTGTGCAATTGATCACTGCATTTTTACCTGGGACACCCTATGTCTAGATTCCATTCATAATAAATTGAAGACACAATAATCCCATCACCGAGTTTGTAGCAGAAAGTTTTTGTAACAAAAGCGAGGCTTGTCTGTGCAACTGAGGAAAACTTATCGCAGATATAAAAGATATTTTTCAGAAAGGTATCGATTATAAATTTATTACTTCCATTAACAGACAAGTGTAGTACTAGTTATCCTCAATTCGAGTGTTGCTAAACGTAATCTACATCTGTTTAGAAAACTGTACATGGAGAGAAATAGTGCCAATTGAAAAACTTATATTCTTAATGAGTACTGGGCTGAACATCCAACAGTATTTTGGTTGAAGTTCTTACTGAAGGTCCTTCAAGAAATAAAGATTATCTGATACTCATCTATAGTGGATACCAAATAAAATCCGATGCACGTCATAGGTGATGTCATTCATAAAAATCATGGTTACCAACAGTTGACTACATTCAATGTGACATTTCTACTTGAAGTTTAAATTTCCCCGTCTCGATTCGGTTGGTAGTGCCGTGTAGAGAAATGTGAGGTTGCCACTTCTCATTTGTTGACATCAGTTGCCATTGTCCTTTTGTCGTAGACTGTCTACTATTAGTTCTTTATTGTTTAGTTTGCGAGTTTTGCGCTATTTGAGCTTTGAATCGTTGCCTTGCCAATTAAAAATTGTTCTTTTCAGAACAACAGTTACTGTGAAGTGGTGTAAAGTATCCAAAATGCCAAAACAACTTCACAATCGGTATAAAGAGCTCATATCATTGAATATCTACCGAAATCAGCTGTTTTTATTCAGAAAGGAATTTAATTTTACAACAAGTTTATTTATTTTTAATATAATGGTATTATAGTAAATGGTAGGTATATATAAACAATTTATTTTATTAAATTTATTTGCTTAAAAGAAAATGTGCAAATTCTGGCAACAGCGCACAGCTCCAGATCGATGACGTGCATCGGGTTTTATTTGGTATCCACTTTACCTCGTAATTTAACTAGAGTTCACTATAGAATCTATCCATTTTGTTCCTTCTCTCCATACATTGGGAACAGTCATCAGCAGTTCTACTAAGCAGTAAGCCAAAGCATATTGTTTCAGTTAAATATTAACGTCTTTGTCTAAATGCTCTGTTTTTGGTGGAACATGCAACATGAAATATAACATAAAACTTGCGATTTGAGATTAGGGTTTAGTCATTTATCACATTTGTTATTGAGTACAATGTTATAGTGAAGTAACTTATCTCTAATGGGAAACAATCCAAATGAATCGCAGTCTGATCTCTGAATTCAGCGATTGAAGTTTTTTATTGCAGCTTCATCGCCTCTGCTAATCCCAAGACTTGCACCCAACGAATTAATTATGACACAAAAACATGTGCAGATTATTCAAGATCAATGTTAGTATGAATAATCAGCGTTATCATGGTATATTTTTCTGAACATATCAAAAAATGAAGAGATAGTCTGAAGTATGCATAACTCATATATTAAACACCAACAGCTATAATCTAGGTTTTTTGAGGTTTATGGCCATATCTTAGAGATCATACGACATCGTTAAGCTACGTTTTCACGGGGCAAAAAGAGCTCGGCGCGCTTTGATCTCCTTTTCATAACTTTTGTCTTGAATGCGGAGTGAAAAGTGACCCACAAGATCACGATTCAGCTTATTCCATGAAGCTGACCGTGAGGGAGCTTCTTATTGATAAGTGTACGCTTTTGAGTTCAAGTTTATGTTAGAGAAGCGGCTTAAGTCACATGGACAGATAAAAAAATAAAAGAAAAAGCATTATTGAGTCAAGAAGTGCATGCTTGCCTGAAACAACTTTTCAGACAGTGAACTAAGCAATGAACACCCTGCATATCTTAAAAAATACCACAAACGTCTTAAGCTTCGTTTTATTTTATCTCAGAACGGATTCCACCACACACTCAGAGGCAGATATCCGATCTACCTCGCTCTCGACTGGCGTGTCCACCCTTGATAATCAAACGTGTTTGATGCAACGCGTGAGCGGTTGTGGACTTGCTCCTCTGACATCAGAGACAAACACGCTAGTGTGCCAAGCTTTGTGAGAATGCAGTTTTAGGGATATGATCCTTTTTAATATGATTACTATTTCAAAATAAACATCTCTGAAATAATATATATATATATATATCGATAGGCTCTACAGGTATAAATTATAGAACCGATACAAATAATCAGTCAAGTGTCTACACAAATTTAATGAAAAGAGCGTAGCTGTTGCACTCTCTCACCAATACCACCCACTCAAATTAAAAAGATAATATTCTTGCACATATTTTTTACCATTGTTTGATTTTTATTTCATTAGCAAATATGTATCACCAGTCGTTGACCTACCTAAAACTGCAACATCTATTTGGCAGAAATATTGTTTTTACCAACTAGTAAGTTTATATTAATTTAAATTTATTTGTTATTGTTTCATTCTCTTATTCAACGTGTTTTGTGTTGTAATTTTTTACGTTTTTATCTCGTTCTAGAAACTCACATGTACCTGAAGATCCGGTTTAAAGTCGCCAAAACGTGGTATTTTTAATAAATGCTTTAAGCTGTACAAGAGTTTATAACTTGATTTGATATTAACGATCGAGAATTCAAAACTGCAAAATAATATATGGGTATCTTAAAAATTACAGAGCCAATCTAGCTGCCTCATTAACTTGTACTCTCATTTCTTCTGTATCGTCTAGAAGTTCTTGAATGTATCCTTAGGATAATAAGACGCAAATGGAGTCCCGCATTCCGTTTGTCGCTAATATTTCTCCGAAATAATACTCCCGACTACGACAGAGCAAATAATAAAAGCAAATAATAAAAGTCGACGGAAGGCATGCTTGTCTGGGACGTCAGAGCCCGAAGCACTTTTCTGTATACTCCACCAAAATTAACAACCATATCTCTGCAATAACTCCATCCCGTTGTTTGAGCTTCAGCCAAATATAACTAATTTAGTGATAAAGCTACAGATCTGGCTAGTTCTACTTTAATAAGCTGTTACTGCATTTAGAAAAGCGAAATGGGATATACAGGATGTTCCTTAATGATATGCGAATATTCAAGTGCGTGAATCTACATGAAAAATTAATGCTGGTTTGCTTTATAAACAGTTTTTGTAATCATTTCCTTGGTTGTAATGTTGTGTTTATGTTGTCAGTTGTTATTGTTCGTTACCCCTAATGTGTTTAATTTTTCCATGAGTTAATATCAGCTATTTTGAAAATATCAGTTATTGCAGTCATTATCGCAATCTATAATATTGTACCCACTTCTATGCACATGCTGACTCAACGTTCAATACCGTCTTACAGATAAAACCGATGCAGTAATTACTGATATTAAGCTTTCTGTATTGAAGACTGTAAGCCTTCCCGTGTGGGTTCTAATCGCTGAAGTAACTGCATTACATTATTAGAGCTAGGCTGAACGGAGCTCATTTGGAAATTAAGCTTCAGATCTGATTTAGACTGCTTTAGTGTGCAATTATTCTGCTTTTATGGAAATGAGGTAGGATGTTTAATACACAAACTGCTCGGCATGTGGTAATTTTATGTTCTTCATGGCGGAGAATATTACTGGTATGACAAAATCCTACCCATACCTGAGATAAATGCTAGAAACTTGCTGTTGTATCGTTGAGTAAATATCATGTCAGAACGGGAGCTACCGAGGAATTGATAGCATGGACTGAACCTAGTCGTTTCATACAATGTTTTCGAAATAGGTTTAAAGATCTCCGTCAATGGTTATGCTACCATGTTGCTTGAATCAGAACAGTGCTTAAAATATTTTATATTTCATATTCTGAGTTGTCAATTTATGAATTTAACAAAGAAACGCTAAAACATTTTTAGACACATATTTCGCTTCCTTCCTATAAACCACCATCAACTTAATTCGTTTAAATTCGATCCAGAGTGCTAGGCGTTTTATCTTGCCCATCATTTTAAGTAAAATGCGGCAATACCATGTGTGTTGATATTTCAGAAGTGATAGAATCAATCACAATATTCTCCGCACTCTAAATCTAAGAAGTATAATCCGTACCTGTCTATTCGTTCTATTTATACGTCATCGTAATTAAAACATTTATTATCCCTGATTCCATCTTTTCTCTTAAATACTCTGTAACCTTGTATTCGCATATTAGTCTAATGATGTTAGCAAATTTCCACGAAATATATATGTAAAAACTGGTTTTATTGGTGCAAGCTGTCCAAGGGGATATTCAAATTATGGACGCATACAATGGGTACACAAGTTTTTGTGGAAAAGCTTTTTATTTGACAACAAAGAATGATAAAACGTGTTGTTTGGGATTCAGTCCAAAGTGTTGGCAGGTAAGAAAAAGCTCTTGACGTAAGATTTACAGGTTTTTATGAGACCTACACATGGTGATAATACGTAAAAAGATCCGACTAATAGCAAATTATTATGGCCGAAAAACGAGGCAAAATGCAGGTTTTGGCACTTGTTGGTAATGCCACAATAGTTTGATGCAACTACTTGAAATTCTTCAAATCCGTAGGACTCGTACTTCTAAATAACAACACCAAATTGGATTATAATGTTCAAATAGTTTTTTGAGAATTCCTAATCGGTTATCCTAAAACACCAATTTTGCAGCCATCACTACTAGTTTACCGAGCAGCGATATACATGGTTCGTTCAAAGATCATTTAATAGCAAAATACACGATCTTATCTTGCCGATGTGTATCACAAACCATTCCGAAAGATAAATTTTATTTTTGTACGAAAAACAAAGGATACGTTTTTTCTTCTAAACAAATTCAAACATCCTTTTTGCATAAAAATAACATTTATATATTTTGCTATAAATTCCGTTTGAACTAACCGTGAATATTGTTCAATAAACTGGTAGTTATGGCCGGAAAACAGGTGTTTTGGGATAAACAATTAGAAATTCTCAAAAACTTCTTTGACCAATATACTCCAATTTTCTTAAGAAGTACGAATTCTGCGAATTTAAAGAATTTCAAATATCTGCGAGAAACCTTCGTCGCATTACCAATAAGTGCCTTGTTTTTCGTCCATAACATTTTTGCCATTAATCGGATCTTTTTAAGTGTGGTCTCATTTTGAAGGTCTCATATACATATATCTGAAAATCGTATATGAAGAGTTTTTTCATTCCTGCCAACACTTTCGATTGAATCCCAAAAAACACGTTTTCTCATTCTTTGTTGTCGAATTAAAAATTTTCTTGCAAAAATTGGTGTATCCATTTTATGTGTCCATGGTTTGAATACCCCCTTGAATAACATGCAGCAATAAAACCAGACACAATTATTTCGCAAACTAGGGGTATTTTCGTCTGATATGATTAGTCCAAAGCAAATTGGTTTCTCAAAATTTAACACTTTCTGCAGGTTTACGCTCATCTCTGCTCATCGCTATCTGCTAATGTAAGTCATCTTAGCTTTGCCACTGATATAATACAGTCGCTCGATTGAAACATTGTTAGAAATACCTTAAAGAAACACACAGATATCATCCATTAAATTTATTTTTTCAAATTCACCCGCTTCTGCAAATCACATGTATACACTTATCTACGTTCACTGCTATCTGCTCTAGTTTTTTTCTAATCCCATTTCCAGAATTGGACAAAAAATAACGGATCATAAATAAGGGAGATAAAACGCTAAGGGCAATTTATGGAATATCATTCCATGCATCTGGTGTATGAAGCGCCTGGATGATAAATCTATCAGAAAAAAAAGTGAAAAATATCCCGCTTTTTGCTCGATCCTGTCCGCGCGAAAAATTTTATACCCTTAAATCGAGCTGAAATAGCAAACACTTTGCGGATCACATGCAGCATGAAGTGGATATATGACATTCGAAAGCGTCCATGTCTAACCAAGCTTTAGCCATACGAGAACTTTGGATGTATTGTATACAGGCAGCAGCGGTGGCCGCAGTAGTAGACTCTTCGGTCTCCTGATCAGTCGCCGTGCGCTGTGCGGGTTCGAGTCCCGTCCCAGGAGAAATTTTTCTCTTGGCTATGGATGTTGTGATTGTCCGTAGGTGGTACATGGTCTCTGACTGTCGAACGCGGAGGTACCACCCGGCGGTTCTCGTAGGCGGAGCCAGAATGTGTGCTAGTTGCATGTACACGTGTTCCCTCGCCAGAGTCCGTGTGGCGTCCCCCCCTTTCCCATGTATCCCCCTATAGCCCCACGGTACCCAATGGGTGCTTAGGCCTTAGGCCTTCGTGGTAGTTGGAGTATAAAAAAAATACAGACCTTCACTGTTTTGGAGCTTGGGCAACAAACGAATTGACTAGTTGAACTGTAAAACTGTAACTGAATATAATTCTGTCAAAAAGAATCTAGTGGCATTTTGATAGAAGTTTTCAATCATATGGCGACAGATGAGTATTTTCAAATACTTTTGTCAAAGATGTTTCTATTGTTTAGGTTTATATTTTTCCTGTCACTAATATCAATATCAAAATTTTGTGTGACAAGATTGTCCACGCGAGTGAATCGTTGTCAGTTTCCAAGTATTTTATAATTCTGATATGCAGGGTAAAAATTCGACCCTCACAATTGTCGCTAAATGGGGACAAACTTGCCTAGGTCAGCAACAAAATGCAGCTTATAAAGTTTCGAAATTCAAAGTACTACCGGAAAGAGACGAATTTTCTCAGAATCATTTTAACTTTTTCCTGACTTTAATTGTAGTGAGATTTCACAAGGTGGCTCAATTAGAATTTCAATATGACGTTTCATTACTTGTCCTCCAGCATCAGCTTTATTTTTTCTTATGGACGCCATATTGAATTTTGGCGCAGATGAATAGAGTTTTTAGTTCTGATTTCAAAAATGTTTCATATGTAATACATTGCAATTGCAAACCTTAGTTATTTCAGATTAACATAATTTCCTAGATATGCCTTGAAATTATCAGATTTCATTTGTTTCGTACACCACGCTAAACATAGCAACCGAGTTTGGAAGATTGAGAAGGAAGAGAAATAAGTCGAGCAGTGAACAAGGTACAGAGAAGAGTCAGGTTTTGCCTACACAATAACGGACATTTTGTTACTATCATCAATGAAATTTTCATGTTGTGGTTAGGTTTCCCATACTTTCTTATTCCTTTTCATACTTTTCATCCAACAACAAATTCATGTTTAACCAAGGAAATACATCACTGAACTTAGGACTGAAAATTCCATTTAAATGTTTAAAATTCCAATATAGCCTCCATATGAAAAAAGAAAGTTGGTGATGGAAGTCGAAAAAAAAATGTCATAGAAAATTTATCTACACCATCTTATAGAGGAGAATAAGTAACAATAACAAGATGGAATTCATTTTTAAACCTCACCTCAACTAAAGTCAGGAAAAAATAAAAGTGATTTTGGAATGAATCTACCTAGGAAATTCTCCTTTTTTTTGAACTAACCAAAATTAGGCAATGTTAATGCAAGACGTACATTTTTGGAGTCAGAATTAAAAACTCTATTCATCTGTGCAAAAATCCATAAGGAAAAATAAAGTTGATGCTGGACTACAAGAGACGAAACGGCATATTGATTATGCCATCTTGTAGAGAAGAAAAGGCGGCCATGTTAATTTGCGAGATATTTTGAAATCGCCCTACAAATAAAGCCAACAAAAAATTAAAACTATAGTCAACGCCAAACAAAGTGGCGTGCACGTCAAGGTGGGTGTGTTGAAAAATTTACATTGTTGCCAAACTTTTTGTAAAATAATAAAATTTATTATTTACATATCTAGGTTTATAAGCAATATTAACCTCAAATGAGAACAAAAATAATAGTATAATAAAATTATAGATCTGTACTTGCATAATCATTAAGTATGACAATTATTGATCAGATGACACTATGAAACTACCATATTTAATTTATAGCTTAAAGGTACTGAATAAAAATCCAAATGGGGTCCTCCAAATTTTATGCATGGTATTTATTTTACAGAATTCATACAGAAAAATGCATTCTAAAATTAGGTAAGCTACTGGTGTAAGCTTTTTCTGTACAATAAAGTTAGTCGGAGTTTCTTTCTTCAGCGCTGTCTGAATCTGAATCTTCATCACTCTCAAAGTTGATTATTAAAGGTTCGATGTCTGGTCGATCAAAAATTCGTTCTCTTTCATACCATTTAAAAATTTCTTGCTCAGTATGTCGAACACTATTTTTCCACATGTCTGGGGTAACCGTTTGTAGAGCCTCGTTCCACATATCCAAACAGTCTTTTTCACTGTTACCATCTCTACCAATATGTCTGTTATAGTAACCTTTTGCTATGCCCCAAATTAACTCAATAGGGTTAAATATACAATGGTAAGGAGGCAGACGAAGAACTTTATGCCCATGTTGTTCCGCCAATTCATCAATCACGTATATTTTAGGTGGTTTGTTTCTAAAAAAGCAGCTATTTTAAGAATAGGAATAAACAAAAGAAATATAAACTGTCGACCAATATAATTAAGAAGCATTATGTACCGAGCAACAATACTCAATAGCTCTGTTTTAAACATTGTGTTTAAAAATGGTATGTTTTGATTTGTCAACCAGTCTTGGATATTTTTTTTTGTCCATGCATTGTTGGGCACTTTGTTCAATATCATGCTGTGATAAGGGGCGTTATCCAGTATAATCATAGATGGACTCTCCAATTTTTCTAATAACTGATGTTGAAACCATTTCAAAAAATTGTCCTGGTTCATCTCTCCATGGTAATCGCTCAATTTTGTTTTCGAAGAAAATATCGCTTCACTACCCTCAATAAACCCATTTTCATTTCCAGCATGTAATATAATGTATCTAAAATATATTAGTTTTAAATTTTATAGTGCAAATTGTGTAAAAGTACATACCTTTTACCATCTGTTTTAATAGCTTTCACGCTTTTTTGGTTTCCATTTTGCCAAGAGCGACCTATGATCCCATTTTGAAATATCCAAGTTTCATCGAGGAAGACAAACTGGTATAAGGCCTCAACCTTGGCTTGATTGTATTGCCTTAGAAATTCCACCCTTTTCAAAGCTATACTTGGTAGTTCCATGAGCCCTCGTCGCGGATTGTCCTTAAGCCACTTAAATCCAAGATCTCTAAGCAACCGCCTTAAAGACGTGGCACTACCATCAAATAATGCCCTATCTCTTAATCGAGACCATAAAGTTTGTATCGTAACTTGTTCTTCTGAAGCCATGTGTAATATGACATTATAATTTAGTTAACAAATTAATGCAAATTTCTGATAAGTTATTATAATAAGATCTTACTTTTGTGATACATATTATAGATCACTTCTCGAATGGCACTTGTATGCAATGTCGCTGTGTTGGTTACACGTTTAATATAACTCCGCTTTTTCTTGGGCGATTCTAAATTTGCATCACTTTTCACACCCTCGGAAATACGACTAACTGTCCTTAAACTAATTTTTAAAGCAGCAGCAACACGCTACAAAAAATGAAATAAAATTTCACTATTACGAGTATTAATATACATTACATATAATTATTAGTAACCTGCCTCTTGAACAGCATTTAAAGGCAACAAAGGCCCGTTGTTGTCCCTTTCTTGCTCAAAGTAGTGCATTAACGAGGCCACGAGTTCCTTACACCGACTATTTAACTGTTTGGGCATCTTTATATACCAAAATTGCCTTTATCTACTCGTAAAATGAATAATTTTGTTTTGAAACAAACAGTTGTTGATTTACAGTATGCGGGGCCAAAGGATTTATAAAGATTTGAAATGCCACAAATTGATTCAGTGTCAAAATTAATACAAATGTCAGTTCCCAGTTTAAATAAGTTTCAAGGTGACAATGTGTCAACGCTGCGAAATCGGTTTAGTGCGTTTACATGTCGATAAGTGATTGGAGCGTTTGCAAAACATTTTATTTCGCATAATGCGTCTAAATTTATCAGAAAGCAACTTATGTGATATTTTAATAACAATGTTTATATGACTATTAACCATAATAAGAGAGTAATGACCATTTTACAATTTATATATCACATTAATATGAAACTGCAATAGAGCAATTGTTTGTGATAGAAACCTAGGCATTAGGTCGGGGAATTTTTATCGTGATGACGTGCACGCCACTTTGTTTAGCGTTGACTATATTTTGAGAAGATGCTGTTTTTTTCCGTCTCTCCCCGGAAGTACTTTGAATTTCGAAACTTTCTAAGCGTCATGTTGTTGATTACCCAAATACGCAACTTTGCTAATATCTAAGCAACTTCGTATCTGTTACAGTTTCCAAGATCCCAGTAGTGAGGGTCGAATTTGAGACACCCTGTACTGTTTAGGGATATCTTGCAATCTCCAAGGAAAAAATAATAGTTGTGAAATATTTCACTTTATAGGGCTCAGCATGTAAGTTTGCATACTTGAACTAAATTTTGGCAAATCTCATGTCTAGTAAAAGAGTGAAACTTCTGTGGTATGAAAGGCCTTAATTCTTTGTGGCAATGAAGCCGCCGCGGTTGGAAGAGGAAGAGCTTATAGTACGGAAACTAAACTCGCGATGTTAAATATATGAGGTAAAGGCTATGCGGTATCATTTAAAATGATTCTAAATTTATCTGAATTAAAATAGTACATTAGTCGTTCACTTCAGTAAGACTACAGCGCCTTTTTAATAAGTAATTACTATCTGATAACTGTATGGTCATTCTGAACTTTAGAACGGATTTTATGAAATAATGTTGTTTGCTCCAAAAAATTCATGGCAATTTTTTTTTCGGATACTTTCACTTGATATTTATTGCGCATCTCTAACGAATCAAAATACATATGTTTCACTAGGTCAAAGGTCAGTATTGGGCGAATGGAAATCAGAAGAAAGAATACAAAATTTCTTCATGTTGAAGGATTATTAAATTTGTCCAATAACTCGAAGATTTCAAACTTTATTTTGTAGATATTTCAGCGTCGAAGAAAGGAGTCAAGTATGTTTATGCGTATTTTTATTTAAGAAAAAAGTAGAGGCAAAGCCTTTGTTTTCTAGAATGACCCATATTCTTCTAGACTGTCTCTTTTGACAGGTTCTCAGGAAATATTTTCCCCCTTTAGTTTCTCGGGAAAATGTTCTATAACGATTACCGGATTTCCTGGATTGTAGGGCCTAAATGAAATTGGGCAGCATTTGGCTTGTCCTAGAATATTATCTTTCCCGGAACGTTCTCAGAACGCAAACCTACAATTTTCGGTTTCGCCTAGCAGTCAAGCT